TCAGAGGGTAGTAAAGAGGTTTAAGCAAGAGAAATAACTGTAAATAACTTGGAAATTGAAGTACTAAGGACAACGTCACCTCACTTAAGAAATTGCATGGTTCATAAGTCGCTCGCTGTGCTAATAATGCCTTATTTTATTGCTGTATTTTTATGACTAAAAGTTCCGCAGAATTTAAACGGGGAGACAGTTCTAATTCTTATAATTAAACAGTTTTTCATCAAATTTCACAAGAGAGCAAAAGTAATGTTCAACGTTCCAGAGTTTAGATTCTTCTGGTAAAGTACGGGATCTTAATGAAACGGCGTACATAAATTCATTCGTCTCATCGTTGGAATATGGTTATGTAGTTATGATCTATAATAGCTCAGTTTCAATTTTAAAGTACCCAGATGTATCCAGCTTCACTGCATATTTGTTTATGTCACATTGCAATGCATTTGCTTGTGTCCAACGTAAAGAAAACTAATGTTTCACGGTTTGCAGATCCCCAAACAAGCATGGCAACCTTCTTTACAAAAAAGGCATCATTCGGAAAGAATAATGCGAGATAGGTTGTAAAATAAACTATTGTTGCGGCAAGAGCTAAACTGAGAATCAGATCAGTGAATACATGATTTATCTCAACAGAACAGACGAGAATGGCTATGCCACGGCGGAGCACAACATACTAAAGAACCATGTCCTACAATGGAATGCAAGCAACATCGTCTGCACGGTAGTCAACTGGCGTAAAATAAAGATTTTAAAAGCAGTCATCGTGGAACGAAAAAAAACAATGTTAAAGATAGAGAAACGCTTAAAAAATTAGTTAAAAAAATTAATGGTTCCTCCGTTACATGATTAAATTATCAACAAATAAGTGTATGTTATTTAAATTCAGCTTTCTCGTTATAAATGCATCACCATCATCTTACAACCTTGCCCTAATCCAAAAATGCATCTTCAAAAATTTACGAAAATCCACGAACCCAAAACAGAGATCATCACAGAAGTCAGGAAGATCTCAAAGCCAGATCTGAGCTTACCAGCATGTGGCTGACAGCCTTGAAATAAAAGATCATTTCAGATCTTGCTCAGGATTCAATCGTCGTTGCGCACTCCCTGAATTCAAAATAAACTAGTTAAACAATTACCGTATTTTTCCATCGATAACGCGCACCTAGAAATATTTAATGTCAATAAAAATGCATAGATTGCGTGCAGTCCATTTACTGCCTGAAAATAGGCAGTTTTCGATCAAATGAATAATGGAATAATATGACCGACTGTGGTTGTACCTGAAGCAGATGAACAGAAGAATTAACAAGAACGACCATATTGCTTTTGGTCTTTCGAACACGTGTATTCTGCAATTGTTTAGTTTTTAACACTGAACATTGCTCCTGAGAAAATGGCCCACTGGGAGAAAAAATACTGTGCAGAGAAAATCTTACAGAGCGATTTCAAAGCTCAAAGACGTTAATTTCGCAAAAGGAAAAGGGAATCGTGAGGCAGCCAGAAAATTCAACGTTGGAGAGTCCAGTGTACAGAAACGGAGGAAAGAAGAAGCAGTCCTAAAATGTTTACATAGGAAGAAACGTGCAATGTGGTACAGGCAGTGCATGTTGTACGAAAAAATGAGCCGGAACTTACATTTTATTAATGTTAGTTAACAAGCCAGCATGCACCCTTTCAATGACTTTTCCGCCGACCTGCTACGCTCGAAAAAGCGATTCAAGTCCATGTGGAACAAACATCAAATTTTCGAAAGTCACGTTTAAAACTTTCCGGTGCGTTCTATGACAAAAAACACTGGGACAAGAGAAGCTTCTGAACAGCGCTCGAAAAAAACACTTCTCTAGTGGGAGATCTCTTAGAAAGATCGGAAGGACATAAGGTGTACACAATCAGTATTTTGTTGAGGGCAAAAATGGTTGCAGAACAGAATAGAAAGCCGCAACAAATATGTTTGCAAATGTTCTTTCAGGTCATGAGCTCTAAAATTTATGAAAAGAAACAATTTGTGTATTCGTTCATCCTTGGGTGTTGGCCAATAATTTTTCGGTTTTCACTGCATAACGCGCAACGTTGTTTTTTAGGTTGAATGAGCTTTTCTGTATAGATAACGAGCGCGGGCTATCGATGGGAAAATACGTTAAATGAAATATGACTATTTAAATAGACTGCTTGTAAACTAATCTAATCATTAAACAAATCTGATGCATCTTGAAAGCCAATTTTGAACAACACCTACCACTCTGCTTTACAAAATAACTTTATCAACAACTTTACTCAGTAACATTTGTTTAATCGAAATATCGTACTTCATAATATCCTGAAAGTAAACATGATTGAACGTCACGGTGAACTTTGCCATAAAAATGGACGAACGACAGAAAATTCTTGAAAGCGCTTGCATTACTGAAGCCCATCGAATTATCTACTTCTGTCCCACTTCATTATTTGTTCAGTACAGATATTTTCCTCAGTTCACATGGCAAATACCAGAAAGTATCATCATGCTTTCTTCCAAGACCGGTGCAGATAGTGACCCTCTTAAATAAACTGTAGCGTGATAGCACAATACGCTAAAGGGTTGGCTTAGAACTGGAAGTTTGTAAAAGCCGAATTTGATTCCCTGGACGGTTAGTCTTTGTCACGAATACCCTGCAAAAAGTAATTTACATATTTTGCTTCAAACCGGAGTCAACTCGAACAATAAAGCATTGAGCTCAGAACCATTAGGTCATAGGACTGAGCCCCTATCGGTCTCACTTGCCTTTCTTCCTTCCGAGATCGATGAATGAGTAACAGTGTGTGGGAAAAAAGTAAAAGATTACAAACTTGATGCGAAAATGTAGATTCTGCCCCCAAAATATAAGGCACTCCTGACTGATGGCGAAGAAACAGGTATTAACTCCTACACCATGACTTTAGTGAAATTAAGAGTGCCGCAAATAGCCTCCAAACGTTTAAGTGATCTTGCTGCTACAGTCAGAATATGCGCATTCCTGAGTAAAAAATACTACGACTAGGAAAACACCAACATTCTACACTACTAGTTATCTAAATGATCGCGGCGCAGTTAGCGGCGCTTCGGGGTTTGCACTTTAAATCGATTATTAGCAGCTCACAGTAAAGTTACTGTTTAATTTTTATTATATAAGAGAAGCTACT